TTGGAATTCTCGGACTCCAGGCCCACTGGTGGGCATCCCAGCTCCACCCACATCCCCTGCAAACGGCTTCCTCTGGCCACACCTTGGGCCTTGGAGTACTCACCCCAGCAGTGGGGTCACTCTTTGGATGACAAACCCAGGAGGGGTTGGAATTGGGGCTAGGAATTTCAAGGTCACAGGAACCTAGAGCTTGATCCCGGACGGTGAGCACCTCTCGGCCTTGTGTGGATGGGGAGCACCAGACTGGAGCCCGCCTCTTGTCCAGGTCAGGGGGTGAGGGGGCTGTTGGCTGTAGACTGGATGATCTCTCGGGATGGAGTGTTGATGAGGTACTGCAGATGTTTTGGGGTTCTCGGCCTTCAGCATGGAAGATGGCTCATGCACAAAGATGGGGGGTGGGGGATCTCTGGAAAGAACTAGTTTGGGGGTGAAAAGCACAGGCCTCTCTCTAACGTGCTAAGGGGCCGTTGAGACATCGTGTTGGATTTTGAGGTCTGGTGCTCAGAGGAGAGATCTGGCCTGGAGATATAAACGTGGAGTCTTTGTTGAGTAGATGGAAACGGAGGCAGAGGCGTGGACGAGGTGATCCAGGGACAGAGAGAAAGTGGCATGAGGGAGCAGGGGCCTGGATTAAACACTCCCAGACCAGGGCCTGCAGATGAGGGGCAGAGGACCATAGAGCCAAGTACCACTCAGCAAGCATCTGCTCTGCTCCATGCTCCTGCACAGCCATACTGTAAAAGTAATTCAATAAGCACTGCTCTGTGCTCCTGTACAGCCATACAGTAAACATAACTCAACAAACATCTGCTCCATGCCACAGCTGCAGGGAGACCTGGAGCTTCCAGACTTGTCTCCAGGGCAGGGAACAAATGACACCCAGGGAGGGCAGATAGGGGACCCCTGGGGTCCGAGAAGTGTCTCTGAAAAGGGAGGTTTGTGTTAAATATTTGCTTGAGAAAAGCAGAAGGTGAAGCTAGTCCTTCCAAACCCTCCCCTCCTCCCGCCACCCTCACTCCCCCAGTACCAGGGGTGTTTCTGGAAAGCCCTGCCAGGGACCAAGTCACATTTCTCAGAATTAATGAGTGCAGACTCGCAGCGCTGAGCAAGATATGTCCTTTGAGTAAATAACATTCAAATCAGGCAGGAATTTCTCAAAAGCAGGGGGCTGGACCTGGAGGAGTGCTGGCGGGGTGGGGCGGGGCCTGATGAGAGGGCGGGGCATGAGGGGCGGGGCCTGATGAGGGGGCGGGGCGCGCGCAGGCCGGGCCTCCCCCGCGCAGTCGGATGGGCTGATCGGGTGCAGGACCTGCAGGCCCCGGGTTATGACAGCCCGGGCAGTCGGTCAGTCATGGCCTGCTGCAGGTCCTACGTGATTACCCCCCCTCGGAGGGCTGTGCCGGGGCGCGCTGCTCGGGGACCCCGAAGGGGACAGACGGTTCCCCTGCACGCAGCAGCGCCCCCAGAAGTGACCGATAACCGGCGCTGTGATCCCCGGGCACGCCGAGCGCGCTGTCTCCTGGGAGCCCACGCCATCCTGTGCGGGGACCCCAGCCCCCCCACACCCCCATTTCAAGGACCCGCAAACTCGCCCATGGTCATGGTGCCGGGACCCCAACACCTTCTCCCCTGGAGGTCCTCGCACGCGCCTCCTCCGTGGCCTGCGGGTCGGTCCGGTGGACATGGGACACCCGCCCGCAGCCGGCGCGCCCGGAGCCTCAGGCAGCAGAAGCGCCGATGGGGATGGCGATGCGCTGTCCAGGGCGCCAGGCAGGAGGAAACGGGTTTAGATATTTTTAGGGAAAATGCCCGCAGAAGCCCAGGGGCTGGCATCCCCCCTACCGGCCTCCCCTCCTCGCCCGCGCACCCCGAGGGGTAGCGGTCTCTCCTCTGAGCGTCTGGCCCCAACTCACCTGGCCTCCAGCCCCTCTGGATGCCCATCTGTCCTGACTCCCTGGCACCGCCCACTCTGGCACTTGGCATTCATTCATCCTCACCGTGGCCACCTCCCCCATCGAGATTCAGAACTTGCACTATTATTCACCTAATATTGTTCACCTACTATTTTCCTTTAACTGGGCCAACTTTTGTTTTTACCTAAAAGGCATTAAAAGTGAAACTATGCTTTGATTAAGGCTTTCCATTAACACTGTAGTGAGCTCAATTATTTCAGAGACTATGAATGCTTACAAAGCGACATATATGTTTTCTTTGTTTCTTAAGAAAACTGCTACAGCTCGTTCAGATGGGAAATTCAATGTATAATAATATCCAGTTTGTTTTATTTAGTATTCCGATAAGATTTATTGTATCTTACAGGTAACATTGAAAGCGTTAAATTTAATTTGGATGGGCATAATCTCAGATATAAACTGCTGCTAAGATTTATTTTTTTTAAAAAGGTTACAAATAGCTGGGACTGGTTTGGCTCAATGGATAGAGCGTCGGCTTGGGGACTGAAGGGTCCCTGGTTCGATTCCGGTCAAGGGCATGTACCTTGGTTGCGGGCATATCCCCGGTAGGGGGTGTGCAAGAGGCAGCTGATCAATGACTCTCTCTCATCGATGTTTCTGGCTCTCTATCTCTCTCCCTTCCTCTCTGTACAAAATCAATAAAATATATTTAAAAATAAATAAATAAATAAATAAATAAATAAATAAATAATAAAAAATAAAAGGTTACAAACAGTGAAATCTCTTCACTTCAAAAAGGACAGATCTTTATATTTTGTGTCTTTAAAATTATTTCAGCTAAGTTATTTGCTGTGTCCATTTTAAATGTTCCCCCTAGTTTGTCATTGTTGCTTGCTATGCTTGTATTATGTTACATGTTTGCACAACAAAATAAGACTAAATCTTTTCTTCTCTTTTGACACTTTAATCTCATAAATTAATGTAATACCAAGTGTTTTCTGTCAACCGTGGGCAGGCATCTTCTATTTATCCCTTGAGGGTTCTTAGGTGGCCATAGAGAACTAACCATTAAGATGTAACCCCTGGAGTTATAAAATAAATAATACTAAAACAGCCATAAAAATATTACTACCGGGAGTTACTCTCATACTTGGGAAATACACCTTACCCGCCAATGACCAGTGACCATTAGCTTAAATAACAACGACTCCGCTATAATCCCAGAGGGTTTAGAACCCTGCCTGTCTTCACAGTCCTGGCAAGGACTTCCTTTCCCTGTGACAGATTAGGAAACGAACCTTCACAGTGAGTGGGCTGAGTGGTCCAGGTGAGGAACAAGGCCAAGTCTTCAGGAGGGGCCTGGCCAGTCCATCCAGCTCTGACCGTGATTTTGTCCGGGGACCTTTGTCCCCTCTCTGACTGCAGTTGGGGGCTGGCTCTGGAGGTCTCTGTAGGTATATCCCGTTTCCTGGCCTCGGAGCCCAACGCTGAGCCTACAGCAGATAATTCATAAATATTTGTCAAGTGAAGCAGGCAGATGGTTAATAAACGAAATCGGTGTGTCTTACCAGGCAGGCATGCACTGTTAGTCACCTGTGCTGTTGAGACTGAGTCTGCAGAGCGTCTAGGGAAAAGTGCCCTGAGCTGAATCCAGGAAACAGCTCAACTGACTCATTTTCTAGTCCATTCATTTCCCCGCACTGAAATAATGACGTTTACTGCCAAGTTATTTTTATACATTCAAAATCCCAATGAATTTTAAAATGTTGGTTTGCATTTTGGCCCCATTTGCTACAAACAAGCTTGAAAGAACCACTGGGCACTACCGTCTCAAGGAGATCCGTTTTGATACCAAGATGATGTGGAAAAGGATGTGGCAGCCCAGGAACAAGCCCCGCCCTGTTCCCACGAATGAGTCCTCCCCAAAGGGAAGCCCCGTGGGGGTGGGGAGGTCCCCGCTGTTTACAAAGCAGAAATGGGGCTCCCTTATTGGCTGTGAAATGAGATTCTCATGTGCCCAGTGGAAGGTAAGGGCTGGGATCAGCCTCTGCTTTTCAGGTGACTAACTGCAAAACTACAGTTCATATCATTAACACGCTCCCTCTTCTATCTCCCCATCCTGCCCTCGTTATTCACCTCTGACGGCTAAGAATAAGCCTTTGCTCACCGCACAGACCTACGGGAATGAGTGGTTTTCAGCTGTGAACGTTTGCAATCACACTTCTCCACCTCTGACACAGATGTCTTTTCAAGAGTGGGGTGTGTTCAGGCTGAGCTGCCCCCTCCCCTGCCCACCACCAAAGGTGGAAAAACATCTTTCCTTTTCAAGCGATTTGTTCTATGTTAAAAAGACACTGTTTTCTAGGAAAGAATGGGGAACTAACTCCTGCTATCTGTGGAACGTTAGATTTGCTGTTGGGATAATTTTTTAAAAAAGAAAGTTACTTCCAAAGGGAAAACTTGGGCGTAAAAATAAAGCAACACATGAGTCCCCACGAATTATGCTGAGTGGAAAAAAGCCAATTCCCAAAAGCTCCCACACTGGATGACTTCCGTGTGCAAACACAACGTATTTTAAAATATCACATTTTTAGACATAGAGGAAAGACTAGTGAGGGCTGGGGCTTGGGAGTTTGGCTACGAAGGGACCACCAGGGGTCCTTGCCCGATGGAATGTTCTATGTGAAGACACGAACCTACGCAGGCGATCACATTGCATAGACGTTAATACACGCAAAGGAGGACGGGTCAATTTGGGGAAATTTTAATAGGATCCGTGGATTTTACCGAAGTCAATATCTTGGTTATAATGTACTTTTCCCTCTTTTTTTTTTTTTTTTGCAGTTTTGGGGGAAAACTGGATGAGTTCCTGCCTCTGCCTGAATGATCTAAAAACTCACAGCTTCTGCGCACCCAGCCTTTTCCGAGGTCCCCCGTTGGGGCTGCAGGGGCGGGGCCTGCGGGGGCGGGGCTTCAAGGGGGCGGGGCCTGAGACGGAAGTGACGTCCGGGGCGGGGCGCGCACCTGGGCACCTGGGCTGCGGCCGGGGCTCGGGCGGCGCAGGTCGGAGGCGGGCGGCGAGTGGCGATGGAGGGCGACAGCGAGGGCCCCTGGGCGCTGGGGCTGCTGCGCACCTTCGACGCGGGCGAGTTCGCGGGCTGGGAGAAGGTGGGCTCGGGCGGCTTCGGGCAGGTGTACAAGGTGCGCCATGTCCACTGGAAGACGTGGCTCGCCATCAAGTGCTCGCCGAGCCTGCACGTCGACGACAGGTGAGCGGGCGGCCCGGGCGGGGGCGCCGCGGCGCCGGGGCGGGCCTGGGCCTGGGGCTGGGGTTGGGGTGCTCGGGGGGGTTCCAGGGGCCCCCCTCTCTCCACCTGAGTCGCTTACGGAGCAGCCTCGGAGGGGGGATCGAGCGCCGGGCGAAGCCGAAAAGCCCCGCGGTGCCCGAAGCGGGCAGGTTTGGGTTTGGGGAGCCCCGGTCCGAGGACGCGCGCTGGCCCCCGAGCTGCGGCTCCCGGTAGCGGCTTCGCGAGCCCGCGTTTGCCCGAAACGTTGTAAAGTGCCCGGGGGTGCCCCCTGGCTTCCCGGGAAGCCCCGGGTTTTGGGGGTTCGGGACCCGGAGCTCCCCCGGAGGCGCGCCCGGCCCCCCCCTCCCCCGGCCCCCGCCCGGCGCTGCGGTCCGCGCCCGGCTTAGCCAAATTGCCGTGTGGGGATCGGGGCTTTGTGAGCGAGCGAGGCTCCGTTTGACTCACTCACTAATTTACGCCGGAGCACAAATTGGTGTAAGACGGTAATTATTTCGGTCGGAAGCACCGGCTCGGCTGGGTCCCTGGCGGGGCCGGGCTTCCCGGGCGCCTGGGCCTGGCGGTGCGGCCGCCCCGGTTCCATTTGGTGTGTCCATGGCGGTCTGCGGGATTTGGGGGCGTAGGGCTGGGGGGTGGGGTCTTGAGAAGCAGCTCGTTTGTTTTATGTTCTTCTTCTCCAGTTGCGTTTGCATTTTAATGATTTATATGCAGGCTTCCGCTGAGTCCATTTAAATAAATGACTTCACCTTGGGCTGCCAGTCCCTTTGCGGTGGCGAGGTTGCATTCTCTGTGGAAGTTGTGTGTGTATTGTATGTGGAGATCCCCCTTCTACAGTAAGCCGGGGCCCAGCAGGCTCAGAAAAGCAGCTCCGTGTAACCCGCCTGGCTTCTGATCCTCCGCTGCTTACGGGGCGATGAGGCCTCTTTTCACCCTAAGGTGGTGGTGATGCCACGAAAGGGACACAGAAAGACTGCAGTGTGTGCTTCCCCAGGCCCAGTGCCCTCGCAGGCTTTGTGTTTTCATCCCGGCCTAGGAGAGAGAGAATACAGCAGATCGGTAGCCAAAACCGGTTTGGCTCAGTGGATAGAGCGTCGGTCTGCGGATTGAAGGGTCCTGGGTTTGATTCCGGTCAAGGGCATGCACCTTGGTTGGTTAAGGGTGTGCAGGAGGCAGCTGGTCGATGTTTCTCTCTCATGGATGTTTCTACCTCTCTATCCCTCTCCCTTCCTCTCTGTGAAAAATTAATAAAATATATTTTTTAAAATACAGTAGATCGGTGGCCTTCTGCTGAACCTGGTGCTTCCCGGGAACTCCGGTAGAGCGGAGACATAAAGCTGTCTAACTGGGAAGGCCAGGGCCAGGGGCTTGTGAGGCTGTGCAGCTCTTTCCCCCTCACCGCGCTGCAGTCCTGCGAACTGCTCAGGCCAGGAGGGGCGCTGTGGCTATTTTGAAATGCAAACCCCACTTTGAATGCCAGCCAATGGTTAGACCCCGCAAGGCACCCTCAGGGTGTCTGTATGCTCTTGGGGGCATTTGTCCGATGGCGTCTTCTGGCCCCAGTGTTTCACTCAGCAGAGGCCGTTTTGCCACCAGCTCCTTGTGTTGAAGGAGGAAAGTAAACAAGTGGGATCTGTTACTTCCAGCCACCGGCCCCTGTTTCTCCGCTGGAAGCGGGTCCGTAGGCTCTCGCACAGCCTGGTGGGAAAGGGTTCTGCCTTTTAACTGGAAGCCTTTCCTGCCCTGCCCTCGCCAGGCAGGTGGTGGCATGTCCAGGTCAGCATCGCCCAACAGGAAGCATGCACCGCCTGCTCTCCGCCACTCCGAGCAGGCTGCCGCGCTGTCTCTGAGGCAGAGGCCGAGTTCTCCAGCTGAGAGGATGCTCAAACCCTTGCTCTGGGCCAGGAAAGTTCTGGCTGACCGTACTGGCCTCTGCGTGAGCTTCTCCTTGGGATTTGTGTCTCTCACACTGCAGGGCAGCACCGAGGGTCGGTCGGGAGAACTGTTTTCTGCCCAGGGCCGTTTGGATATGTATGACATCATTCGTGAGCCAAACAAAATTATCGACTTAAAAATGAGCCTGCTACCCTTGGTCAAACTTTTAATTAACTCACCCCGAATGCCTTGGCAGGGCCAGACCCAGTGATATATGGCCGACAGGCCAGACATTCCCCACCCCTGAGCTAGACCTTCCATTGTTTAGTTAGGATTGGCAGGCTGTCCTCGCTGCTTTTTAAAAATATTTGTTTATTTATTTTTTATTTATTTATTTATTTTTGGTTAATCCTCGCCTTAGGGCATTTTCCCTTTAATTTTTAGAAGGAGTGGAAGGGAGGGAGAGAGACAGAGAGAAACATCGATGTGTGAGAGACACATTGATTGTTTGCCTTCCACTCATACTCCGATCGGGATTGAGGATTGAGCCTGCAATTGAGGTACATGCCCTTGACCAGGAATTAAACCCTCAACCCTTCAGTCTTCAGATCTTATTGCCTTTATTTAAAAAAAATAATATACATATACATATATATATATATATATTTCAGAGAGGAAGAGAGAAGGAGAGAGAGCTATAAAACATCATTTTAAAATGTATATTAATATATATACTTTATTGATTTTTTTTACAGAGGAAGGGAGAGGGATAGAAAGTTAGAAACATTGATGAGAGACATCGATCAGCTGCCTCCTGCACACCCCCCACTGGGAATGTACCCGCAACCAAGGTACATGCCCTTGACCGGAATCGAACCCGGGACCCTTCAGTCCACAGACTGACGCTCTATCCACTGAGCTAAACTGGTTTTGGCTAAAACATCATTAATGAGAGAGAATCATTGATCGGCTATCTGCTGCATGCCCTCCACCTGCATTCGGAGGATTGAACCCACAACTGGGGCATGTGCTTTCATTGGGACTAGAACCATGGCCTCCTGGCCCATAGGTCCACGCTCAACCATTGAGCCATACCTGCCAGGCCTCATTGCCTGTTTGACGAGCTGCCTCCCATCTGCACCCTGTTATGTGCGAGCTGGTCCCTCGTAGGAAATAGGGTTTTCCTGGGGGCAGCCCCGGCCCTGGATTCCTGGGCTATGTCTTGACTCCCCTGTTTGAAGGGCACCCCCAACTCCTGCCAAGCCCCCTCAGGAGCTTCCCACGTATAATCTAAGATGGGCCCCCTACGTGGAGGGCAGGGAGAGGCTGAGGGACAAGGGAGACCACTCCAGAGGGGCAGGGCAGGGCAGGTGTAACAAACAAGGGACATGGCGGCTTGTCTTGGTGACGCTAAGACACCTGCCCACCAGGTCTTAAACGTGAACCCAGAGGCCGTGCTGGAGCAGTCTAGAGCCTGGTCTTCCCAACGGCCTCCCCTCGCTCTGGGCCTTCCCCTCCCGCTCCACGTGTTGCATCAGGACCCACCATGGGCACAGGGGTGGGCCAGGCTGGTTTTCACTGGCTGCTTGTTCCTCCAGGCAGACTGGGGCCTCCTGGCTGCAGCCTTCCAGCCACCCCTTGCCCTTAGCCCCCGCAGGGCCTGACCCCCAGCAGCGCCCTGGGCTCCACGGAGCACAGAGCCCCAGCCCTGGGAGCCTGCACTTCCTTACAGGAAGGTGGGGGCTGCCCAGACCCAGTCACCCCACGGGGGGGGGGGGGGGGACTGGAGGGGGGAGGGGGCAGGTGGTGCGTTCTTGATCTGTGTTTCCTGCTTCTTAGGGCTGACTGTCTTTAGGGGGGCCTGGATGCCTGGGCAGAGTCTGGGGAGGGGGGTGTTTCCATTAGACCAGAACTGGTGACTGCAGGGGCCCCCTTCCTGCAGCGCAGCCCTCGGGCTAAGAGGAAGCCCTGAGTGAGGGAGCGCCGGTCTGGGCACCGGCCCAGCAGCTAATGCTCGCTGGGCACCGGCTGGTTGGGGCGAGCCCGAGCAGCCCCCGGGTCTGTAAGTACAGGGCCGGGAGCCGGCAAGCCCGTTCCTTGTCGGTGTTAAAAATAGCAGTGTGGGAACCCTGGCAGGCGCCCTGGGAAAGTATGGGCTGGTGAGAGGGGAGAAAGCCGTGCTGGGAGCGTCAGCTAACGAGGGCTGACACCCTTTTCCCAATGCCCGTTCCCAAACCTGGTTCCAGGGCTCCTCGGAGGAGCGCTTTGTTAGGGAACACTTCCACCTCCTCCATCCCGGCCCGTCTCCACCTCCCCCCTCCCGCCTGCCTTCATCTCCTCCATCCCGGCCAGTCTGCCCCGGAGCCTTTTCTGCTTCTCCGCCTGTGGGGGCCCAGGGCGCCCTCCCCCTTTCCAGGAGGGGAGGGAAGCCGCAGGAGGCCTTTGGGTTAGGCCAGTGGTAGGCAAACCCTTCAGTCAACAGAGCCAACTATCAACAGGATGACGATTGAAATTTCTTTTAGAGAGCCCAATTTTTTAGACTTAAACTTCTTCTAACACCACTTCTTCAAAATAGACTATTTTGTGGAAGAGCCACACTCAAGGGGCCAAAGAGCCGACCACGGGTCTTGGGGATTCCTGGTCGCGGAGGCTTCCCGGCCAGCGCCTTAGAAATGATCCTCCTGATAGTACTGCTCTTTCTCCCCACCAGCTCCCTTCCTGGGACTGACGGTGGTGGTGGTGGTGGTGGTGGTGGTGGTGGTGGTGGGATACGCTTTGACTGGCTCGAAATGAGAAGGAAAAAAGGAATTAATGTAATTGTTGTTGAGAGAGAGGATCTGTTAATGTCCAGAGAGTTTCCTTCCAGCACCAGGGGAAGGGGTGGGGGGGATCAAGGGGGGACGGGACCCTTTTTCCACCGACCATAGCCGCACGTGTAGCGCAGCCCAGTTTGCAGGGGTTTTCAGTGAGAGGATGTCAGTGGATTCGGGTGGCGCTGAACTTCACTCCCAACCGGGAAGAATGGGGTGACCCTGACCGAGGCTTGCCACCGTGAAGGTTGGGACACTCCTCTGCCCCACTCAGCTTTGGGGCCTAGGGACTATTCTGAAAAACCCCTTGGGGTCCTAAAATAATAGTAATCATAACAATAGAGCTACGGTTCCTTTTGTGTTTGGAAGCAGTGCTTTGAGGGAACTCTGTTAAAAAATAATTGCTGTCGACAGGAAACAATTGGCGGTCACTTTTTCCTGTCCTTCCCAGCGGCTCCCCGAGGCCCCTCTCAGGCTTATTGCAGATGTCGCTTAGACACCCGGTGGGATCCGGGCAGGGCTGTAGCTTCCCCAGGCTGGCGGTGGTCCTAGGGGCTTCCCAGCAGGCCTGGGGTGCCCCCCTCCCCCAGCAACTGAAGAAAGACCTAGAGCAATTTGGATTTGGGTTTGGTAGTTACTGAAATATAAACGGGATGAACTTTTTTGGGGTTGATCCTTGAGGGGGTGCTGGCCAGCCCTCCTCGCAGGCCTGTGCCAGCTGGCTGACCGCTGAGTCCCCTCGGACCTGCGGCTGGGCGGTCCCAGGCTCCTCTTCCCCTGCCGCCCCAGAAGGTGAAACTGGCTGCGGCTCCAGGAGACCTGGTTTTCTCCGCAGCAGAGTCCCGTGTCATCTCTGCCTCGATTCCAAAGAGGACACGGGCTCTCTCAGAGCGGTCTGGCTTTGTCGGCCTTCTGGAGCCAGCCAGCAGGGGCTCTTTCTATTTGCGTTTGTGAAACTGCGCTACACGGGGTTTCTGTTTGGTGGAAGGGGGCCCAGGGCCGGGGAGAGAGCAATGACCTGGCTGAACTCGAGGTGGGAGGGGAGGGGCGATGTGCTAATGAGCTCAGCGATCGGCAGTCACCCCGGTTTTGTGTTTTAAGCCCTTTGGGCCAATGGAAGAAATGGTTATTTGCAGAGTGGCTGGGAGCCGTGGCTTCGTAAGATCTTCAGGCTCTGGATAGTGGGCTTTACCCTCATGCGGGGGTGTTCTCAGTCGGGTTTGGCATAGAGGACTCATTTAAGAATGTCTGGCCAAAACCGGTGTGGCCCAGTGGACAGCGCATAGGCCTGCGGACTGAAAGGTCCCAGATTCATTTCCGGTCAAGGGCATGTACCTTGGCTGGGGGCACATCCCCAGTTGAGGGTGTGCAAGAGGCAGCTGATCGATGACTCTCTCTCATCGATGTTTCTGACTCTCTATCCCTCTCTCTTCCTCTCTGTAAAAAAAAAATCAATAAAATATATTTAAAAAAAAAAAGAATGTCTGTGATAGTGGGTAAGGGTCCTCTTCAGAGCCACTCAGGATTATTGAATTGCAAATGTCACAGACACCTGTGCCCGAGACCCGTGCGCCTGCCCTGGAAGCGGGTCTCCGCATCCTGCAGCGGGACACATGCCAGTGCCCGTGGGCACGGTGCCCCAGGGAGGGCACACCAGTACATAGGAGCAGACCGGTAATAGAGCCGGTTCTTAACGGGGGGGGGGGGGGGGGGGAGGAGGAAGTAGCAGTGCGTGCAGACCCCCAGCTGCACAGCAGGCAGTGCGTCCTTAGCGGTGCCCTGGGGCAGGTGTCGTGCAGATAACAAACCCAGCCTCCGGGGCGGAGAACGGAGCCGGCCCAGGGGTGTCATCTTCCCTCTCCTTCTTAAGTGACCAGCCTCGTTTTAAACGATGCTTGCCCTTCGCACCAGTCCTTTCCCCTTTCAGATGGCAGAGGGTTCGGGGTGGGTGTCTGTGTCACCCCCAAGCCTGGCTCCATGCTAGGCCCCAGGGAGGGGCTGGCTGGCCTGAGCCCTGCCAAATGGGGGAGCAGCGCACAGCCCCCCCCCCCCCCCCCCCCCCCCCCCCGCGCGCGCAAGCTGGCAGGGCCCTCTATGGACGTCTTGCTTTCCGTGACCTGGCTGGGTCCGTGAGCAGAGCCCTAAGGAAGCAAGTCAGGCTGAACGCTGTTCTGTTCTGTAGCGATGTCACGGTTCACCCCGATTTGTGCTGCACCTGTCTCTAAGGCCAGCGGGGTTCTTCTCCGCTCCAGAGCCTGTCCAACCCCTTCCCCCTCCTCTCCTCCCCGCTGGGCTGCTGCCTCTCTCCCCCACATCCGGTCAGTCATGGAGTCTGGAGGATTCTCCCCTGCTGGGACTCCGCCCGTCTGCGAGTCCCTCATGAGCCCTCGCTGCCCTTCCCCGCTCTGATCAGGGGCCACCTTTGGGAATTCTCCCCTGGGCCCCGCACCTCCTCCTCACAGTGCTCCGATCTCGGCTGCGCTTCTCGATCTGGTGTAATTTCCCATCTCCCCCCTGGAAGGCGGACCTGGTGAAGGCGGAAGGCTCTCTCTGTCATCAATGCTAACGCAGAGGAGGCGCTCAGCAATCACTAGGCAGCGAGTGAGTTTTAATTAGGTGCGGATTAGCATTCAGGGAAATGCCGGGCATGATTAAGTGGGTGATTCCAGACGAGTGGTTTATTTAAATTTGGCTGGAAAAGCACTGGGTTGGCCTGTGCCGGGGGTGCTCAGGCCGGGCACTGTTGGCACTTGTGTCTTGGGGGCTGTCCTGTGCCCTGCGGGGTGTTGAGCAGCCTTCCTGGCCTGCACCCACTGGGTGCCAGGAACAGCCCCCGTTTGTGACAGCCAGATGTCTCCAGAGAGTGCCCACGGTCCCCGGCGGGCGAGGCCGCTCCTAGGTGAGCGTCCCTGGTCTGCACACGGGGACCCTTCCCCAGACCCCTCACGCGGCCCCTTGGCGCGTGCTCCCAGTGGGTTGGGCAGGTGGGTGGGCAGAGGGGCTGATGGGAGTGAGAGCTGAGTGCAGGCTGAGCTCGGTGCTGCAGCCTTTGGTAAACAATGTGATCCTGGCCCCTCCCTGCTGGCCAGGATCATACTGGCCAGCCCTGGGCAGTATTTCCATAACTGTCAGGGGCACCTGGGAACGTGTTGTGATCCCAAAGTGGGGGCAGACCCATAAGAAACAGACTCTCCAGCAGGACCCTGTAGTAGGCCTGGGGGTGGGAGCGGGTGCAGGCGGCGGGCAGGTGCAGCCACGCTCTGGAAGAGCCTGTGGTGGGAACTAGCTGTTTTGGGTTAGGGGCAGGGCCGCTGGAATTGGAGTCTGCATTCTGGGGGGGGGGGGGGGGGGGCTCGAGGCCGCCCCAGCCGGCTGACTGCGTGCTCCCAGCTCCACGTGGCACGTCTGGGCTTTTTCCTTAGGACTATCGGGAAGGCAGGCTCCCCAGCACCCACCCAAGACCCATTCTCCAGGAGCTGGGCTTGGGAACCACCGACCTGCACCACCTGTGGTCAAGCCCTGTCCTCAGAGGATTTGGCCTTTCTCCTGGGCGCGCTCTGAGCCTTTGACCGACCAAGGCACTGGGAGCTAGTTTGAAACCCCACAGGCTGCTCCCGGACGTGGCCTCAGACTAGGGGTTGCACACCTTCTGGAAGGGCCGGAGAGTGAGTATTTTGGGCTGTGTAGGCCACAGGGTCCGTGTTGCAACTGTCCGCCTCTGCCCGGGGTGCGAGTGCAGCCACAGCTGCATGAATGGCAAGGCTGCCTTCCGGGAAGACGGGCTGGCTGCGGACAGCTGTTTGGCAGATTCTCAAAAGGCTAAACATAGAACTCTATCACATGACCCAGCAGTGCACTCCTCGATGAGATGTATATCCGAAGTGAAAGCCGGCACTCGAACAGATACTTGTCCACCTCCCTTCCCGGCAGCATTAGTCACTGTAGCCCGGGGCGGGGAGCCTTTTCCTGCCAAGGGCCATGGGGATATTTATAGCATCCTTCCCAGGCCATACAGAATTACCAGCTTCACAAGGAGCCTGCTGTGTTTGGTCAGACATCTCATTAACTCACCCTCAGTGCCTTGGGTGGGCGGGACCCATCGATCTCGCAGGCCTCCGGGGCCTGATGTTCCCCATCCCTGCAATAGCCCAAAGGGGGGCACAGCACAAGGGTCCATCGGTAGGGGGATGGATAAACACGATGTGGTGTGTTCCTGCGATGGGATGTCATGCAGCTGTGAAAAGAGTGGAGCTTTGGCGTTGTGCCCCAACACAGGGGAACCTCGGTGGAAAGCACTGTGATTAGTGAAACAGCCCCGGTCACTGAAATACTGTATGATCCCACTGCGGTGAGGTCCCTCGTGGAGGCAAACTCCTAGAGACGGGAAGCAGGGGAGTGGCTGGCGGGGTGGGTGCTGGAGGAAGTGTTACGTTGAATGGGTGCAGAACGTCTTTCGGGGATGCTGCCCAAGTTTTGCATGTAGATAGTGGTGATAGTTGTATAATACAACATTGCTACTGTATGCAATGCCTTTGTATGTATGTATATGAATAGTTAAAACCGACACGAAGCATATTATGTATTTTTTTTACTATAAATTAAAAAATGGTTTAGAAAAAGTGGTTCTTGGGCAGCATTCTGCAGCCCCTGCTTTAGACGGATGTGCCCTTGATTTAAGTTTGGGGTTGGATGTAGGAATAACGGGGCCACTTACACTGCTGGCCTCAACAAAGAAGGTGGGGTGGATGCTTCATGTGGATAGTTTGTGACAGCTTTCCGTGGCACGTCACCTTCTCCTCCCTCCTCCCCCAGAAGGGATTCCCAGCACCTGCCTCCTCCCTCGGTCCCTGCGCGGGCCTTGGCTCTGTGCTGCCTGCGGCTTTTCCGATAACCATTGGGTGTGCTGGGATAGCTGAAGATCTTGGGCAGCCCGGCATTTAATCACTCCGCATTAAAGTGAGCGACTGTGCGTGCGCTAGTCATCTTGTCAGCGCCGTGCCCGGTGCTTTGCGTGGGGGCCAGGTGACCAGTGTGCGTTGCTCATGCCATTGGCCCCTTTCAGGGAGCGCCTGGAGCTCTTGGAGGAAGCCAAGAAGATGGAGATGGCCAAGTTCCGGTACATCCTGCCCGTGTACGGCATTTGCCGCGACCCCGTCGGCCTGGTCATGGAGTTCATGGAGACGGGCTCCCTGGAGAAGCTGCTGGCCTCGGAGCCGCTGCCCTGGGACCTGCGCTTCCGCATCATCCATGAGACGGCGGTGGGCATGAACTTCCTGCACTGCATGTCCCCGCCGCTGCTGCACCTGGACCTCAAGCCCGCCAACATCCTGCTGGACGCGCACTACCACGTCAAGGTAGGGCCTCCGGGCTGGGTGAGGCTGAGTGCCGAGGAGCGCGGGGGACTCGGGGCTCCGGGAACCCTCGGGCAGTGTGAGGGCGGACGAGCACGTGGTCCTCGGGGAAGAGAGCTTGAGCGGAGAGGCCTCTCAGCCTGAGGGTGCCTGGGATCCCCTGTCTCGTCATGGCTGGTGTGAGTGGACTCTGAACACAGGTCACACCCCCAAATCCCGGAACTGGCTCTGAGTTCTGCACACCCCTGCAAAAGAGAGTGTGGGTTTGCGGATCGGGTCTTAGTGGGTGTCCTGTAGGAGACGGGGTGAGAGATCAGGCAGCGGGGGAGAGGGGGTTGGCCGTCCTCCTGTGGGACGTAGTTTCAGGCGCTGGCGGAGGCTGAGGTGCAGTTCTGGCACGGGGCTCCGATGGGGCTCCGATGTTCCAGTGAGGTGGGGCCTGTGAGGGCTGCTCTTTCTTATCTGTTTCTGGTTAAGTTTATAAAACAAAAGTGGGAAGAAGAGCAGAACTAAAGCCCAGAGGCCAGCCACCTGGAGTTGGTAGTCAGGTGCGTTGTCAGGTTGTGTCTGTGACTGTCTCTGGCAGGCCTTCGCGTGCTGGGTTCTTCGTGGCTTTCCCCACACGGGGAGCTCACCTCCTCTGGAGGCCCTTCCCCTCATCCTGCCTGAGTGAGAAGGATTCCCCCACAGCGGCTGCGTCCTCTGGTCCACTCTGGGGCCGGGCGAAGGGACACACCCGTGTGCTCTCTGCTGCCCTCACAGGCCCCCCTGCCTGTTGGCCTGGGGAGAAGGGACCCCATTCAGTCCCGCCCTGCCCCTGGTTCCCTCACCTTTCTCACCGGTGGCAGGTCAGGGGCTCTGGGTGGCCCACACACAGCAGGCACCTCTCTGGGCTGAGCCAGCCCGAGGCCGTGGGGAAATGCTGTTTTCACTCTGCACCCTAATTACAAGCTTTCCCTTGAGGAGGTGTCGCTTGTAACAAGGTTTTAGCTGGGGCGGAAGCTGCCCTGTCCGGTTTCCTGTGGTCAGTGTTGCTGCCTGCACATATGGACATGACAGTTCTCACTGGCATGTGCGGTCCCGTGGGGGCCAGTGCAGGTGAAACCTTAGCTCGCAAACGTGACTGTGTATAGGAAAGGGAAGGTGGGGACAGGCCCCCGCTATGTGCCAGCGGCCTGCCTGCAGGAGCTGCCCGATGGGCAAAGCGGGGGACCGAGCGGGCGGTGGGCCTCAGCTCAGGGTTAAGTCATGGCCGGGCTCACCCAGCTTGGGGTGGGGGCCGAGTCTTCACAGAGCATCAGACTTTTCTGCTGTCGGCAGTGGGTGCAGGCAGAAGAGCCTTTAGGTGGAGGAAGCAGCCCCCCCCCCCAAAAAAAAAGGGAAATGCTGGGTTTTGGGGGAACAGGAGGAGTGGGGGTGGTCAGAGAGGCCTTTCCCTCACTCGGCGTTCATGACTGCTGAGTCGGGTTGCACTAGAGGCTGCTGGGAGCATGCTTTATTTTATTATTAAATATATCTCTTCATTGATTTCAAAGAGGAAGGGAGAAAGAGAGATAAAAAAACATTAATGATGAGAGAGGATCACCGATCGGCTGCCTCCTGCACGCCCCCATTGAGGGCCGAGCCCACAACCCAGGCATGTGCCCTTGGCTGGAATCGAACCTGGGACCCTTCACACCGCAGGCGAATGCTCTGTCCACTGAGCCAAGCCGGCTAGGGCTGGAACATGCTATTCTTAGGGCTGGCGGGTGGGCACCAGGTACTCGGACAGATGTGTCTGCAGCACATGCCTTTGAGGTGGCCCCACCGGGCCCTAATGGGTATGGCTGGGCTTTCATATCAACCTGTTCCCTCCCCCTCTCCTAACAGTCCTGTGGGCATCCCTGGACAGCCCCTGGGACCCCTTCCTTCCGAGAGCCCTCAGCACAGCCCTCCTCCTGGGCTGTCCCCTGACGGCTGGGCTCAGCCCTCCCTGTTGTTGTGAAGGGTCAGTGCAAACCAAGAGCTTGGCCCAGGGCAGTGCTCATGAGGGTTGGTGTCATTGGTGTCGGCATTTTTGGGGGCCGATAGATAGTCATCTTCCCACGACTGGGACGTTGACATATATCTAGGGAGGGTCCCACCCTGGTTTGCGGCAGGTACCTCATACCGGCTCGTAAGGAGCTAAGTGTGGTGTCAGCTGCCGGGACCGTGGCCTTGCTGGCTCTCCCGAGGCCTGTGTGACCTCTCCTCTCTCTCCTATAGCACCTGGCATGGTGGGCCTGGCATGGTCTGCCAGTTTAGTGGGTGAGTGAGGATCCCTTCAAGAGTGGGGCCTTGTTAGGAGCCTAGGATGGCTGAGCCGGGAGTGGGGTGGAGCCTGCGTGGACTTGTCTGCCTGACAGGGAGCAAGGTGTCGCTGCTGCTTCCACGCCCAGGGCACCCCGAAAGGCCCGAGTGGCAGCTGTTCTGTGACTCCTGCTTAAGTAGGCACATTCGTCACCTTGCACAGCCCCAAACAAACAGCTGTACTTACATAACTCGCATCTTGCCTTCTCAGAAATCGATAACAGGGTGTGGGAGGGCACGGGGCCTTGTTTGAGGTTCTAAGTCATTGCCTGGCCAATTGGGCACTTGGCAATGGTGGTAATTTGAAGCAATAAATCTTTATTCTAGAAGCCTGAGATGAGATAAGGTGTCAGCCTGCCCTTGGGCCCTGAAGGCGACCTTTGGTCCACTGATAGGGCGATCCGAGTGGGAGATCTCACAGCAGCCTCTGCCTCGCAGAGTGTGTTAGAGGCGATCTTCAATTAAGACTTGGTAGTAATGTTAATTAAATAATTAAATAACATTAACTAAATAGTATTAAAATGCTATTTTTACCGTATGAGGAGTAGACCCCTTTGAGGCTGAAGATGAAATAACTTGGTTTAAAATCTCAGGCTCACCTCTGCCCCACTTTGCCTAGACGAGACGGTATTCTGGGAGATTTCGAGGGGCCTGGTTCCCTCGGTCTCAGGGCCTTTCTCAGGCAGCACAGCCCTGGCCCTGCCCCACATTGGTCCGGCCCAGCTGGACGGTGCTTGCCATTCACAGGGGTGGCCCCTGCCCGCTGTTGAGGAAGCAGGGGGCGTGGGGGAGCACAGGCCAGGCAGGCCCTGCACGGCAGGTGGGGAAGGGCAGGGGGCTGGGGGGAAAACTCTGTAGGCGGAGGGTCAGCAGCCATCAGGGAATTCTGATTTCTGAGGCTGCATTTTGATGTCAGAGCTTTTAACATAGAATTTATGCTAGCTTTCCTTCACCAAGTATTTATGCTAGCTTTCCTTAAAGCTGTTGGCTATGTCGGAAAGTGTCAGAAATGAAGGGAAGAGGCTGCCCAGGAGGTGGGCACGGCCGTGAGCTGCTTTATGGCTCTGCGGGGTTGGGGTGAAGGGTTCATTCTGGGGAACTGGTGCTGTCCTTTCCAGAGTGGGACTTTCTTGAAGGCCAGAGAACAGACCCAGGCCTGGCCCAGCCGAGCCACAGAAACAGGGTGGGTCCACTCCTGCAGGCTTTCTTCCCATCACTCCCTGCAGAGCGGGTCAGAAGCTCCTGAGGGGTCGGGCCGCCAGGCCTGGCTTCTCCTGCCGTCCGCGGCGATGATGACATCGGGACACTGGCTCGCCATGAGCTGGCACAGCGAGCCCAGAGTGAAGTCCTGGCTCAGTGCCTGTCGCTCCACAGGTGTGTTTGAGGAGGAGCCTGGAGCTGACTGGGAGGCTTAAAGGAATCCATACGCCTCGAAGGAGAACATAAAGGGCTGTTTTCCATGCAGATTCTGAGCCCCTTAATGCCAGCGCCTGTGGCCTGGTCCCACACACAGCGCTCAGTGGCTTCCGAGGATGTGGGGGTCTGAAGGGCAGCGAGGATCCCCCCGGGGGTCTGTGTGGCTTCACTTCCTCCAGTGGGGAGTCTGGGAGCTGTCGGGACACCTTAGTGCAAAGGAGACGAGGAGGTGGAGGTGGGCCCAGTGGCTGGGCCCCTCCATGCTGGTGGCCCCTGGGAGGGAGACGTGCCTCCGTCCGTGGTTTGGGTGCCACGGTTGGTAGAGGAGTTGATCACGGAACGCTCAGGCGGAGGACGGGTTGTGGTGTGTGCTTTGCTCGCTTTAAAGGGTTCTGAGGGCGCAGCTCCTGTGAAGAGCCTGCTGCCACTTGCCCGCCTGCCCAGCCGGCTGCCGAACCGGATTGCTGAGCACCAGGCTGGTCAGCCTCGCTTTCATGTGTCGTCTGGAAACCGGAAACGCGAGGCGTTGCCTTTTGCCCTCATGCCAACGTGGGCTGCCGACCACAGTGGCAGCGTGCTGCCTGACACAGGCAGGCCACGGTGCTCCTGGTTTCTGGCTCCCGATGAATTCCTTCCTTAAAGCGTCATTTCCCCCCATCCATCAGCTGCTGATGGCTTCAGACCTGCTCCTCCTAAGAAGCCTCCGTGGCTCACCGGTCATGGCTCGCTCCTGGGGTGTCAGGGATCCGGACGGTCAGATGTGGCGGGGATGCTGACCAGGCCTCCGAAGTGGCAGACGCAGTGCAGCGCCCGGCACAGCGCCCGGCGCCTGCTAAGCCACCTCTGCCCGCTCTGTTGCAGATATCCGACTTCGGGCTGGCCAAGTGCAACGGGCTGTCCCACTCGCACGACCTCAGCATGGACGGCCTGTTCGGGACCATCGCCTACCTGCCTCCGGAGCGCATCCGGGAGAAGAGCCGGCTCTTTGACACCAAGCACGACGTGTACAGGTGTGTACAGCTGGGCAGCCCCAGGCCCCTGCGTGTCAGGCCCGCGGGGTCTCCCTGCCCCAGTTCTTCATGCTCTGCAGGGCCGTTTTCCCAGAGACTCCTAGCTCCCATCAGATACGAGGTGATCCGAATGGAAGGGTTTGGGGTTGTTAGCCGGGGGGTGTAGGCGGCCCCAGGTACACAGATTGACTCTCCTAGGAACGCAGGATGTGCCTGCTGCTGGCCTAGGGTGGAGGGTGTGAAGGGTTGGTGCCATTGGGGCCAGTTACATAACAGACCCACAGCTTCCGCCCTGGAGACTCGCTTTAAACTGTGGGCTGTGTATCTTGTCCGTGGACAGAACCTGCTGCTCTGAGTGTCTGTGATGCAGGCTCTCCTACACCCAGTCCCTGGGCCCAGCAGCCTGCCCCTCCCAGTGTCACTCACCTTCCACAGGGACACAGGCAGCCACAGCCTGTGGATAGGCGAGGTCAGCCTTTCTCCCTTCGGGGCACAGACACTAATTACTAAAATTCTGCGGCACGCCCCAAAATAGATGTTTTTTTGCCAATCTGACAAAAAAAAAAAAAAATAGGTATAATTTTGATCCGTTCACACCATATGGCTATTGGTGCATTGGCTGTGGTTGTTTTTTAACTTGACAATCGAAGGGAGAAGAGGTCAGTGTTTCTGACTAAATAGGCAGGGGATGCAGGTGTTAAACGCTCTTGTGCACACAGGTCCCGAGTGGTTCGGGCCTTCCCTTTCCCAAATTGTAAAGGCCCGGATGACAGAGGTTCTGGGAGAAGAAAAGAGGGAGGGAGGCTGCAGGCAGGCGCTTAAGCCCCTCATTGTGGCTGTTGTCTGACTCAAGGTGACTGTGGCCCTAGCCCCGAGCTCTCCCCTTTGTCCCTGTCCCTGCCGAGTCCTGGTGGACTGGTTTGACAATCAAACCATTGTGGTGCGCTGAGCAGGCTTGGCGCTGCAGGCTGCTGGCGAATGGCACTGGGGTGCTTGCCACAGCTTGCAGGGTTCGGGGAAGCCGATTATTTATTTTAGAGCGGAGAGCTTCCAAGTCTGAGTGCCTAGGTTTTCATTAATATGCAGTGGAGACTTCTCGTCAACAGCTGCTGTCCACTCGGGGCAGGGCAGGGCTCAGGGTTTGGACTCCTGTTTTTTTCATACACACATTTTTTTTAAATTGATCAGATTGAGCTTATTTGTTGAAAAAGAATACTTTTTAAAATGATGTATACAGGGTGAGGCAAAAATAGGCTTACTGTTGTTTGTATAAAAAAATAACACAGTGATGAATAAATAACAATACAAGAATAAGCTGTTCTGCCGACTCACAACTGTGGGCCTGTGGCCACACCCGTGTATAAATTCCAGCAGCCAAGAAGGGCTCAGGAGGGCTCATGGTTGCCCGCGTGTCTTTCTCGGACCTTGATGGCCTCTCCGTGGGCAAGCTCCGCCCGCCCAGAGCCGCAGTCAGCACGGGGCGCCCCGTGTGGCAGGAAGGTCGAGGTGAATTCAGCCGGCACGGCCCCTCTGGCCACGAGCTGGCGGGGGCAGTGTTTTCGGGCTCCCGTGGTGTTGGGACGTACAGCTTCGCTGGCTGGGTGTGTTCTGAGCCACTAAAGGGCCGTGTGCCCCGGCCGTGTGCCTGTTTAGAATAAATCACGGGAGCGTCTTGCGCCATCTCCTCCTGTGGAGGCCCGGAGGGGCTCTCCTCACACGTTGCTCTGTGCCGGCACTTTGCCGTATTCACAGACACTGACCTCCGGTTTCCCCGCAGCTTCGCCATCGTGGTCTGGGGCGTGCTGACGCAGAAGAAGCCGTTTGCAGGTGAGTGGACGTACTTTTGGGGGCGGTGCCTCTGTCGCCCCAGCATCTCTTCCTCTGCCTCAGCCGGGCCTGGGGTCCACATGCCCAGGGTGGGGCTGCCCCGAGGGAGCAGGGCTGCCCTGTCCTGCCCATCATGTTGGCACGAGACCCGTGGCAGGTGGCCCGGCGTGCCCACAAAGGGTTCCGGAGGTGTCATTCAGGAAGAGGCACAGACCCGGAGGGCTGTGCTCAGTGGGGTTTTAGGTGCCAGCGAATTCTTTGCGTGTGTGATGTGATGCGCAGACATCAAGCCGATCATCTTAACCATTTAAAGGGTACAGTTCAGTGGCATTTATTGGCCCATCCATTGTTGTACAGTCACCACTACTATCCAGTTCCAGAACATTCTCATCCCCCAGAGGAACCCTGTGCCCGTTACGCATTCACTCTGCCTCCCCCACTCCAGCCCCCAGCAACTGTTAATCTGCTTTCTGCCTGTGCATTGGCCTGTTGTGGTTATTTCCAGCCAGTTCTTTTCCTTTTTTAAATTTTCTAAGTTTTAGTTGTGCTACCATACACATAACATGAAGTTGACCACCTTAACCATGTTGAAGTGTACGGTTTGCTCATGTGAAGCCCATTCATAGTGCTGGGCCCACAGCGCCAGGATCACTGGGTGATTTTGACACAAATGGGTGATCCGGGTCACCCGCACCCGCTCCAGAGCTGAAGTGCTTTCCCCACTTCAGTCAGTACTGTTCTGCCTTCTGTCCTCAGAGTTTTAGCTCCTTGATGCGGTACCACACTGTCAAAGTCAGGCCCTCTTTTGCTTTGTTGGAGTTTCTTTTCCTCTGTAAGCGATCTGAGCCACTCATAATATTGTGGCCTCACCAGTAACACCCAAAATGCAGGTCCCAGTCACCCTGGGGCCCTGGTCCCCGAGCCTTTGCCGGTTGAGACAGGATCCTGTCCATTTGTCCTTCCACCCAGCACCCAGAATGCTCCTCTCTGGGAGGTCCATGGTCTGGATCACTTATGGGTGGTGATCCAGCGAGCTCAGCTGGCATGGAATCATCTGGTGGAGGCGACGCCCAAGGCCAGGTGCTGATGCTCACCTCGGGGGCCAGGCCCCGAGTGTCGATAGGCGAGTCCGAGGTGCGGGAGCAGGAGGCGTCGGTGGACTCTCCCCTCTGCGTGGGAGCAGGACATCCCGGGTGTTTAGTTTACGCTGGGGTTTCGGAAGTCTGAGTTCTTTGGAACAATGTGTAGGAGCCTGCGAGAGCGGTTGCACAAGATGTAACGGGGACGTGGCACGGAACATCGGAGCCGGATCCCAGCAGCGGTCGGGGACGCTGGGCCAATTTTCCACACCTGCTGATGTGCCCGGGCCAGACTCCTGCGCTTGTGGGAAAGCAGAGGGCGTGGGGGCGGGAGGTGTGGTGGGAGCAAGACTCCCGGAATCCAGCTTCACGGCCAGTGTGGTGTAGGCTGAGCAGAGAAAGGAATCTGACCCGCAGAGGGGCCCCTGGGGCCCCTCTGCCTGTGACCAGGGTGATGATGATGATGGTGATGATGGTGATGATGATATGCTAATGAGCCCAGGTGTGTCTTTGGAGGGTGTTGGAAAGGAGGACAGGTGGGCCCCATGTTAGGAATTTTTTGGGGAAAAGGCCCCTATTTGCACACTCCAGGCCTGAGCACTGCAGAGACCAGCCAGGGGCCTGCACTCGGGGATAGGACTTGGAATTCAGGAAGACCCGTGTCATCCCAGGGAGACGTGGGTGCACCTGGGGGCTGGCCGTGCCGCCCCGGGATGGATACGGTGCCTCCCTTGGTGGGCACGGCCACTCGGAACATGTCTTCTCAGATATTTTTCTCCTTTGAACCCGGCTTCCTTTGCGTTTGCTGCCTGGGAAGATTTCCCTGTGATACAGCGTGAGGGTTCCCCTGGGAGCTGCGAGGGCGTTTCTGAGTGCTGGGAGGGGAGAGCAGACATGCCCGTGAACGTAGGTTAACGGAAGCCCGGTGCTCTCCGAAGAATCGAGTGTTCTCCAGGCCATGGGCCCGAGGAGGTGCAGGGACAGGCCCCAGACATGCCCCTGGGCGCTTCCCCCCAGCCATGCTTCCTCCGGAGATAAGAGCCAGCTCTGCCCTGACGCGCGCCTTTCCCTTGCAGACGAGAAGAACATCCTGCACATCATGGTGAAGGTGGTGAAGGGCCACCGCCCGGAGCTGCCGCCCGTCTGCAGGGCCCGGCCACGGGCCTGCAGCCACCTGCTGCGCCTCATGCAGAGATGCTGGCACGGGGACCCCCGCGAGCGCCCCACCTTCCAAGGTGAGACTTGGACGGCGCCGGTGCAGTGCTCCCGGATGTGGTTGCTCGTCCAGCTGCTGGTGTCCCAGGAGAGAGGACCAGGCGGGGCTGGGGAGAGGGCCAGAGGAGGAGGCCGTGCAGGGACGGTGTTCCCAGCAAGCCCTGCAGCATCGGCGTGGCCGTGGCACCTGCCCCTGACCCTCTGTGCCAGGGCTGCGATGGGCAACTTGAACATCAGCTCTAGCCGCCCACCCCGCTGCAGCCCAGGGCGGGGCCTGCTGCCCAGAGGAGCCTGTGCTGGGTATTTCCGGTTCACATACGGAGTTGCCTCTCTCAGGGATGGTGTGATCTCCGGCCTTTGCCTTTTCCTCGGGGTCTTGTCCCCATGGAACGGGTGTGTCCTCTGGGTGGGAAGAGATCCTGATGGGATGGAAACTGACCATGGCATGGAAAGCACAGGGGGCACACGAATGGGAGGTGGGGGGCTCATGAGGGATGCTGGGGGTCTTGCACTCTCCCCTCCGCACTCCTGAAGGCTCCTTTGAGAAGCTGGAGTCAGGTGAGACCTGCGGAAGTTGCTGACGGAGGCCCCGGTTTGGTCCGTGTGGAGGCCCTGTGGGCCCAGCAGTGGAGAGACCAGTGCTGCCCGGGTCCCCGAGTTATGGATGCTCTGGGGAGTCACCTCTTACCCCCGTTCCTTCCTTGAGGGGGCACGTTCGTACGGAGGTCACTGTCCAAGTGACGAGCCCTTCTTCGTTTTCCCCCCAAAAGAAATCACATCGGAGACCGAGGACCTGTGTGAGAAGCCCGACGAAGAGGTGAAAGAGGCGACGCAGGACCTGGATGTGAAAGACCCTCCGGAGCCCAAGACTGAGGTGCGGGGACCCCCCGGGGGCCTGTGTGCTGCGTGGGGATCGGCTTTCCCAACCCGAGGCCTCTCGTCCTCAAACTCCCTGCAGCCTGGTCCCGCGTGCCCTCGTCCTGCGGCTCGGCCGCCCTGGGAGTCCCACTCACGTCAGTCGGTCCCAGAGTCCTGTGCCCAGTGGCAGGACGGCGGGTCCTTGGCAGGCTCGGTGCCCCAGACGTTTCCTGCCTGACTGTGTCCCGTCCCCCACCTGTCTGGTTACGGGTGAACTGTGCCACGGGAAAGCTAATGCCGCCAGGAGGATGGCCTTAGGACCAGCCCGGCCGGGCCCTGTTGGCTGGGGGGGGTGGCCCGCCTGGGCTTGGGTCTGCCTGTCTTGCAGCCCCAGCTTCGGGACCTTCTTACGAACAAATGATTTGTTCTGTGAGCGCCACGCGGTGATGTAAGGGGTGATAGGAAACTCCAAGGCCGGGTCACCCTGAGGGCGCTCAGGCACTAGGCTTGTGAGGCAAGGCCTGGTAATAACTAACCTCACGGTGTTATCTGCTGCTTAGGCAGCGCTCCGGGCCGTTGGTGTGAGCTGGGGTGTAGTGAGCGTGTATGGTGTGCGTTTGCATCGTCCGAACAGCCTGTGTGTGAGGTTGGGGAGCAAAGGTGTCCCGGGAGGCAGCCTGGCCCTCCCCATCCCCCAGGCCCTCCCCATCCCCCAAGGAAAAGAAAGGCGTCTGACAGGTGGGTGTGACTCCGCACTCCACACACCAACTCAGAGCAGATTAACAGTTCCCAGAAGAGGGAGGGTGTGGGGCCACATGGGCCCGGTGTGGGAAGAGTCCTGAGTCACCTGGACTCTGATCACCAGAAGTCTGCCTCCGTCCCTGTCAGAGGAGGCCCTGGAGAGTAGCAGTCGCCAGCCGGCGGTGCGCGGGCCCCTGGTGGTCCGTGAGGTCCGAAAGGTTGGCCACCGCTGCTGTGGACGGTGGGTCACAGCGTTGTCTCTGTAGCTGGCCCCGCCCCGCCCTCGTCCAAACCAGGCCCAAGCCAGATGTGCAGCTCGAAAAAGAGGCCGCAGGTTGCAGACAATATGGGGAGAGCTGGGGGAGCCCCAGCCCCAGTCCACCTCTTTCCTCTGTTTCTTACCAGCACTGACCTGTCCTGAGGGACACGGCCCGGCAACCCGCTTCATGCTTTTGCAGCCTGTCCACATGTCCACGCTCCACCTTTGTCCCAGGAGTGCCGTGTGTCATGCCCTGGGCGGACGGGGTCCAGGGCAGCCTGGTGCTGGGCTGCCCGTGTTTTGGTCCAGCGGGTCTTTCCTTACCAGCTCTTCCCACCCAGTGGCCAGTGCGGTGCCATTGGGCTCCCGGGCGCCATGCGTGTGACAGCGGGAGTCACATTCCCCGCGTGACAAACCAGGACGGCGTTTCCCCTCCCTGCCCCTGCCTCCCCCTGGCGTGGCGGGCGGAGCCTCATCCCCCTGTGCTCCTCCCCGCAGGCGCCCGTGTCCACGCCGCTCAAGCGAGCCTCGGCGCCGGCCTTCGACAAGGACTACAGCCTCTCGGAGCTGCTGTCCCAGCTGGACTCCGGCATCTCGCAGACGCTCGAGGGCCCGGACGAGCTCAGCCGCAGCTCCTCCGAGTCCAAGCTCCCGTCGGCCAACAGCGGCAAGCGGCTGTCCGGCGTGTCCTCGGTGGACTCCGCCTTCTCCTCCCGAGGGTCCTTGTCCCTGTCCTTCGAGCGGGAGCCTTCCACTGGCGGTGAGTGGGGCCCTGAGCCCTGGGGGATGGTGAGCGTGATCAGGGGGCTGGCGGTGGGCAGGGTGTGGGGATGTCCCTGGACAGCGACAAGGACGAGGCGTCCTGGTTCTTGACAGTGATTCCTTTTCTCCATCCGCCACCGATCGGTTCTGGGTGTCCCTGGCATGGTTGGCTCACTGAGCCCAAACCCAGAGTGGGTGCTGGCCCAACTGGTGCCTCTTAGTGTTGATGGATGGGCCACACGCCTGGCCGTGCAGGAGGGTCTTACCTGGGCGGCACTGTGCGGGGGCGGACCTCAGGTTTCCACATGGAAAACCCCGAGTTGCATCCAGCGGGACCAGCAGACAAATCGAACCCCACACGCTGGGTCTCTCTTGTGGAGGCCAGTCCTAAGCCCCCGTTCCTGGTGCTGGGTGAACACCCCCATACTTCTTGTTCACGGGCTCCCAGTCACTGTGGCCACATATTGTAATGAGGAGTTATCCTTGGAGGTTATAACACCTGCCTGTTGGAGAGGCGCGTCTCGGCTCATCTTACCTTTGATGTTAATTTTGATGGGTGTTTGCTTAGAAGGCGCTTTTCCCTCTGCCCCTGTCCCTGCCCCTGCCCCTGCTCCGGGTGCTGGTTTGTGGGTGTCGGAGCAGGTGTGTTGCTCCCTCACTGTCCCCAGCCTCCCTTCTTCCCTCCTTTCCTCCCTCCCGTTAGCAATCACTGCCATTTCTGACAGCTAGTGGGGGCCTGAGTTTTGCATCCTTTGTCTAAGCAGCATGGCTAGAAGGATGTTTATTTTGCAAATCAACACGAGTCCCTTGGGGTCTTTCACTGGCCTGCGCGGGGTCTGCCCACTAGATCTAACATTAAGCCGTCAGGGACAACATGGCACTTAAGCAGTTTCCAGTAACAAGCAGCCCGGAGGCCGTGGGGAGGAGTGGGCAGCGTCAGGACACCGGCCTGGCTTCCAGAAAGCAGCCCGCGGGCGGCGGCCCCGTCTGACCCCGGCCCCCGCTCTCCCCGCAGATCTGGGCACGACCGACGTCCAGAAGAGGAAGCTGGTGGAGGCCATCGTGAGCGGGGACACCAGCCGGCTGATGAAGATCCTGCAGCCGCAGGACGTGGACCTGGTGCTGGAGGGCGGCGCCAGCCTGCTGCACGTGGCCGTGGAGGCCGGGCAGGAGGAGTGCGTCAAGTGGCTGCTGCTCAACAACGCCAACCCCAACCTGACCAACCGGAAGGGCTCCACGCCGCTGCACCTGGCCGTGGAGAAGCGGGTGCGCGGCGTGGTGGAGCTCCTGCTGGCCCGCAAGATCAGCGTCAACGCCGCGGACGAGGACCAGTGGACGGCCCTGCACTTCGCAGCCCAGAACGGGGACGAGGGCAGCACGCGGCTGCTGCTGGAGAAGCACGCCTCCATCAACGAGGCGGACTGCGAGGGCCGCACGCCCATGCACGTGGCCTGCCAGCACGGCCAGGAGAGCGTGGTGCGCATCCTGCTGCGCCGGGGCGTGGACGTGGGCCTGCAGGGGAAGGACGCCTGGCTGCCGCTGCACTACGCCGCCTGGCAGGGCCACCTGCCCATCGTCAAGCTGCTGGCCAAGCAGCCGGGCGTGAGCGTCAACGCCCAGACGCTGGACGGGAGGACGCCGCTGCACCTGGCCGCCCAGCGCGGGCACTACCGCGTGGCCCGCATCCTCATCGACCTGCGCTCCGACGTCAACCTCTGCAGCCTGCTGGAGCAGACGCCCCTGCACGTGGCCGCCGAGACCGGGCACACGAGCACCGCCCGGCTGCTCCTGCACCGGGGGGCCAGCCCGGAGGCGGTGACGGCCGAGGGCTGCACCGCCCTGCACCTGGCTGCCCGGAACGGGCACCTGGCCACTGTGAAGCTGCTGGTGGAGGAGAAGGCCAACGTGCTGGCGAGGGGGCCCCGGAACCAGACGGCGCTGCACCTGGCGGCGGCCGGCGGGCACTCGGAGGTGGTGGAGGAGCTGGTCAGCACCGACGTGCTCAACCTGCCCGACGAGCAGGGGCTCAGCGCGCTGCACCTGGCCGCCCGCGGCCGGCACGCCAAGACGGTGGAGACGCTGCTCAAGCACGGGGCACACGTCAACCTGCAGAGCCTCAAGTTCCAGGGCGGCCACGGCCCCGCCGCCACGCTGCTCCGCCGGAGCAAGACCTAGGGCGCCGGCCCCGGAGCCCGGGCCCCGGGCGGGGTTCCGTCCCGTTGGCGTGCTCCGCGGCGGGGACAGGCCGATGCCGGGCCGGTCCGCAGCCCTCACCTCGCTGACGGGCTAGCGGCACTTGGACCGAACAGGCCACCGAGGAGCGGCTGACTCTTGATTCGTGCCCGAGTCGGTGTGGGCGGGTTTCCCTCCCGATGGAGGCGTTAGAAGGTGCTGATCCACCCGCCCGTCGTGTGCCGGCGTCAGAGGGACGATGGGTTGGAATCATTTCGCTGTAACTCTTGCTCCTGTGGTCGGTTCCTGGAGCCGGCCCGCCTCGGGCCGAGGGGAGGGAGGAGCCGTGTCTTCCGTCTTCATTTGCAGCGGCAAGATGAACACGGAAGGTTTCCGAGGAGCCCTTGTGTTATGGGACATCGACACCGTCTCTAGGTGACCACAGTGTCAACCGTGGCTTTAAGCCTTTGGAAAAAACGCTCATGTCCTTCGGGGGTCCGGTCTGTGAGCAGCGCGTGGGAAGCGGTAAGGGGGGTGTCACACGGCGCCGTGGCGTGCCCGCTCTGCCGGGCCCAGCATGCTCTCCGCCGGCCTCGTGGCGGCCACGGGCCTCCCAGCAGCTGACTGCTCTCATGCATTTCCTGTTGCATGTGATGTGTTTTGAACTCTAGAGCCACCTATGCAAGAGTCATATACAAACTCACTGTAACTAACCTCAGTTTCGGGCTCTAAGCAGTATTACCTGGTTGGATGGACCGCGAGCCCATCGGCCCCGTTCCAGCTCTGGTGTCCGGTCAGGAGGCCGTCTGAGAGGAATGCTGCTGTTTGGGGGTCTCAGAGGGGCCTTCGGACCCTTTCCCAACCTCTGAGCACCCCCGGGTGCTCGTGGCTGTAAAAGATGAGGTGATCTGGGCCTCTCCGTCACTGACCTGTGTGTGCCCCGTGGTGCCCCCTCCCCAGGACTGTTATTAGAGTGGATTTGCTGCAGGAAGTGGTCCTGTGTGCGAACGTGCCTGTGGTGTATGAATCAGAGATTGATGTTAATATACCGTGTATGTTAATGTGAGTCTGTGGGCTGGGTACTTCCTTTCTGTGACAGGGACTACCCAGACGGCTGCGAGCTGGCTATGTTTTAATAGGCCTCGTGCTTTTACTGTACAGTGTGCGCTGCTGTCCTGCTGATGTAAATAAAGCTGCGTTCTTTTCTGCTCCTGTGGAAGTCGGCGAGGCTGCTTTCTCTTATGCACAAGCTGGAATAGTCTGGTTTCTGAAAACCAGAGGTTGAGGCGGTCATGGGTGCGGGGCGGGGGAGGGAGAGTGGAGGGTGAGGTGGGGGAGAGGGCAGGCACTGAATTAGCCAGGGACACGCAGGACGAAGGAGGGGAAGGGCCCAGGCTTCCTCCTCTGAGCTGGGCCCTGCCACCCGTGTGTGAACCGGCTGCACATGACCTGGTCTTGATCGCCAACACCAACGTGTGTCTCCTTTCCAGCGTTTAGATCCGTTTCCATTTGTTCACTTGACGTCCTGAAATAAATTTCAAGTATAGGGAAGGTAGGAGACTGGAACGCGGGTGTACTCTTCACCTAGATTCCCCATCCCTTCACATTTCAGCTCATCTGCTCCGTCTGTCCATCCATCCATCCACCCACCCACCTACCGGTCCACCCATCTGCTTAGGTTGTAGACACTGTGCCCGTGACCCCAAACACGTGTATGTATTTCCTAAAAACAAGGACGTTCTACTGTATAGCCATAGTGCCCCCATCAGAATCAAGAAATTAACAGAGGTACTACTACCATCGGATCCACAAATCCATTTTAAGTTTTACTGTCCAAAATGTCCTTTATGGGAAAGAAACCACAGCAGCAGTAACAACCGACTTCCTTTCCTCCTGCCTGGCCCAGGACCTACTGTGCGCCTCTGTCCCTCGGTCTTCTCCTTCATGACCTTGCCTTGTTTAAGGAAGTGCTGGCAGTTATTTTGCAGCGTGCCCTTGAGATGTGTCTAAATTCCATCCAGGAATTGATTTAGGTTAACGTACTTTGGGCAGAAATACCACAGGCATGATAACGTATAAAAACTCAGCTCTCCCTTCTCCCCTTCAAAGCTGTTTGTTTTATGTGTCTGGTTTTATAGCGCTTCACGGGAGGAGAGTGTGAGTCCCCTCCCATTTGCCCTGGGCTGGGGCCCAGGAGGGACGAGTGGAGCATGTGCTGCAGGACCCGTGGCCCCAGAGCAAGATGGGCGAGGAGGGAGGGACTCACACCTTCAGCCCTCCCAGGAAGTACTGCCAGCACATCCTTAAAAAGGCAGGGTCATGGAGGAGAAGACAAGGGACTGAGGCTGAGACTCCTGACAGCACATCAAGTGTAAGCCTCACTTTTACTTCCTCCCAGGGAGAAAGACAGTTTGGACCTGAAGTGGAAGGTCCTTAAGCCAGAAGGTGCTCCTGAGCACAGGGGCCAGCGGGAAAACAGGAAATGCAGGTTTTCTGGGGAGCGAAGAAAAGCCATCCTGGTGTCAGCCTGTTGCTCTCTAAGGCAGACAGGGAAATGATGGGGGGCCCAATGGGAGGGGGAGAGTTTCAGCCAGAGGGCAGAGCTTCAGTGAGAAAAGGGCCGTAGGTCTGGATTCCTGGCACAAAAGGCTTTTATTTAAAAGGACAGAAAAGCTAACCTGTGTCATTTCACAGGCCAGGGAACTCACCTGGCACACAGCCGGGCACCAGGCTGGGCAGCCGTGTGAGGGATGCTGGCTGAGGCCACCCGTGGGGCAGGGGGTTCCTCGTTCACACGGGGGTGGATCCGTTGTGCACACGTGGGGGTGATGGGGACCAACCTCCTGGCAGAGGAAGTGGACACAGTATGGATCAGCTGGCATCACCCTGGGGAGTGAGTCTGTGATGGCATTGGTGCGAAGCTGTGTCCTTAATGGAAGGTGGGCGTGTCCATCCTCCAGGTTATACGCTTCCTAGGCCTGTCTGCTGGGGGGCCTGGACCAGAGGCCCCGGCAACAATGTGCACCCACCGCCAGGGTTTCACGGCTCCGGGTGCTGCCCAGCATAGGGTTTGGGTGCAGCGTGTTCCGAAGTCCCCGTGGCGCAGAGGGCAGCCTCCTGGCTCTCGCCGTGGCGATGGGCAGCGTGTGGGCACGGACTCCAGGCTTCCTCGCAGACAGCGGGTTCACCACGAGGCCGCTCCTCTCCCCGCCGACGAGCCAAGAGCTGCCATCTTCTTCCAGGTCACTGAACCCGGTTCCGGATCTCTGGGCCTTTCTCTGCCACCGGCATTTTGCGGTGCCAAGCATGAGCTCCTTCCTTCAGCAGCGAGGGTGTGCTGGGCGGTGCTGCCAAGGTGGCCCGCTGGCACCGCAGCAGAGGGAGCAGGCATTTCTGAGTTGCCTTTCAGCGGAGAGAGGCCTTGGTCCTGAGTTTCCATTGTGGTGGCTGCTTCTGGAGGCCTCGGCCCCTCGTCTGGGACGGTTTCCTTTCTGCTCATTCTTTCTTCCCTCCTGTCCTCTCTCCATTTCCCTCCTGTCCTCCCTCCACTCCTTCCTGCCCTCCCTCCACCCACTCCTGCCCTCCCTCCACCCACTTCTTGCCTTCCCTTCACCCCCTCCTGCTCTCCCTCTACCCCTTCCTCTCCTCCATCCACTCCCCTCCTGCCCTCCCTCCACCTCCTCCTTCCCTTCCTCCATCCCCTTCCTGCTCTCCCTTAATACCCTCCAGCCCTCCCTCCACCCCCTCCTGCCCTCCTCCATCTCCCCTTTCTTGCCCTTTTTCATCCCCCTTCCTGCCTTCCCTCTACACCCCTCTCTCCTCTCTCTTCCCCGTCCCTCCTCCCTGATTAGCTCCCATGTGAATCAGGGGTGCAGTGCTCCATTACCCACAGTCCCGTGCCCACATTCTCAGGTGCCAGAGCTCCAGGCCTTATGCTGTGTCTGTGCACCAATGTGTGGCCGAGGGCAGTGGCACCGGTGACTGAGCGAGGAGGGAACTAAATGAGCAGCCTGTCCCACACAGGGACACTAGTCACTGCTGTAGGCCCTTGGCCAAGAAAAAGGGACAGTGTCAGGAACGGCTGGGTCTAGGCACTCACACGTCATCCGTCCTCCGTGTTGGCTTCACTCATGGACAGACCCCTTGGACAATGGCCTTGACATCTCCAAGCTTAACTAGCCTCCGAGGGAGGGTCCCGTGGGAAGAACGCTCCCCCCCTTTCCGAAACCCCAAATTAAATATAATTCATAAATCCTTAGGCTCTTTTTCCTTCCTGCGGTCTTATAGCTGAGTCATGGCTTCTTCCCATCGAAATGGGCACCGTTGTTTCGCTCCTGAAGGTGCTTTAGGTAACAATGCATTTCCTGATTCATGGCGGCTCTGAATGGAGGCAGGAGGGTTGCCTGTCGGCCCAGCTGTGGGAGGAGAATGTCCTGGTCGACCAGGCTGGGGAGGCCAGTGGATTCACCCTGGAAGGGGAGGTGGTGGATCCTAAAGAACATCAGGATGCTCCTCCTGGAAAGGGGGAGAAGCGGGGGATGGAGCGGGGAGGTAAGAGCCGGCTGTTCTCACACGGACAGCCCACCGGGGAGCTGGGACAACAGAAGCGACTGGAGTTGTGTGTGGACCACGTGTCCGCCTTTTCTCCTCTCGGGCCCGGGGAGAAGGGCGTGGTGTCTGGAAGGACCACCTGTCAGCCCAGCCTGGAGACATCCAGTGGCTTTGAAGCCACAGTGGCGGCTCAGAGAGAGAGACTCCGGAGGCCCCTGCTAGAGGCAGCAGCACAGGGAGAGCCTTGCTCCAGGGCGAGGGAAGCCCCAGACCAGCTCTGGAGCAAGGAAGCGAGTCATGTCCAGTCACTGAGTGACCCCTGAAAGAGGAGGCACAGAGCCAGGGTCCCCACAGAGACAGGGTTCCTACCAGGAGGAGCGGGGGCACCTGTGTGTTCCTAAGCCACAAGGGACCTAAGACAGCGCCCACCTAATGGAGGGGATGAAGCACCG